GGGCCGTCTGGGAGCGGGTTTGGGGGGCTCTGGGGCCGTCCAGGAGCGGGGGGCACCCCAAAAGACGCACGTGTAAAACATACGTTTTACGAAGGGAACGGGCGATTTTTTGCGTCTAGAGGGCCTCTCGGGGCGAATCTTGGATGCCTCTTGGGCCGTCTTGGGGGCCTGTTGAGCCGTCGGGAGGCCGTCGTCGATGTTTGTGATCGCTCTTGGACCGTCTGGGGCCGTGTGGAGCTTTGTGGAGGCCACTCGGAACGCTCCTGGAGCGCTCTTGGGGCCGTTTTCGGAGCCCTCTTGGGCCTGTTGGCCCGTCTTGGGGCCCTCTAGGGGTATGTGGGGCACCCTCTGCGAGGCTCCTGGGGCCGTCTGGGAACGGGTTTGGGGGCCTCTTGGGCCGTCGGGGAGCATCGGAAAGGCCCAAAGCCGAATTTGTTAAAAATGTACGTTTCACGAAGGGACTGGGCTAATTTTTACCCTCGTGGAACGCATCTCGGAGGTCCTCGGGGGGGCTCGTGGGGGCCTCTTCTGCCGTCGAGGACGCCTCGTGGCCCTTCTTTGGGCCACCTTGGGCGGCTTGGAGCGCTCGTTGGGCGCCCCAGAGCCATGTCGAGGCCACCAGAGGAGTCCCTGCACGATTTTCACGAGGTTTTGCACGATTTTCGGGAGCGGATGACCCCTCCGTTCCCATCCGGGGGGTCCGGCCCGACCCCCCCCCCACCTCCGTTCCCATCCGGGGGATCCGGCCCGACCCCCCCCCCCCCTCCAAATCGACCGGACCGGGCTCCCGGGGGAGGGGTTTGGGGAGGGGGAACATCTCACACGCCGATGAACCCCAAGGGGTCGGCGGATTCTGCTGGTACTGCCGTTTTTGCTGGTGGCGGTTCTGCTGCTGGTGTTGCTGCTGGTGGTGTTGTTCAGTCTCGTGCTGCTGCTGGTGCTGCTGCTGGTGCCGATGTTTCTGTTGTTGGCGGTGGTGTTGCTGCTGGTGCTGCTGCTGGTGTTGCTGGTTTTCCGTGCAGCCCGACTGTAGCGACGAGGAGGTCCCCCCCAAGGCTGACCTCGAAACTCGAGGTTTGAACCTCCACGCCCTCCCGAGTATGTCGGAGGAAACACGCTGTGAGGGTGACGAATTGACAGGCCCCCCCCGAGCGGTCGCAATAGGTAAGCCAAAAAATACTGGTATTTTTGACGCTTCGCGTATCCCCACCAGCAGTGCCCCAGTTGTCTATGACTTCTGACGTACTCTGTCAGCCGCCGGGTGCGTTTTCTGAAACTGCGACGGTTCGCTGGCGCTGTCAGAAATTCCCCTCTTTGCTGGACGACGTCAGCTCTACGCCTTCGGTCCGTTCATACCCGACGGACACCCTGGGCTCCCTGACACCTTCTTGCACGGAGACTGGTTCCCACCACCATGCGATTGTCGGTCCGACACGATCCATGAGTGGGGATGTGCGGTGCGCCATTTTGGCCGCGTCCGCCTTGCTTCCTGGGTGGCTGACCCCTCAGACCCCCTGGGTTGCAGCTTGCACTGCCGCCTGGCCTCTCAGACGCCCTGGGTTGCAGCTTGCACCGCCGCCTGATCCGCGGCCCCCGCGCGCGCCCTGGTAATTCGTCACGGCCGCAGCCCGACCGTGACCCGCCGCCGCCGGCGCTTCCGCCTTATATGTGTATATATATATATAAATACATACATATATACACATATCAAAACATAATTAAAACTAATATATATATATATATATATATATATATATATATATGTATCCCCACCAGCCCATCCAGAAACGATGCCCAGGAGAGCTGACGGGAGAAGGGAGGAAGATACGCACAAAGTGAAACACAGTGGGCAACAACGGTGAATTGGGAGATCTTTGGTAGCGAATGGTACGGGTGCTGCTGTTGGTGCCGTTGGTTCTGCTCATACTGCTGGTGGTGATGGTGGCGGTGCTGCTGCTGGTGTTGCTTCTGGTGGTGTTGCTGAGTGTCGCGCTGTTCGTGCTGCTGCTGGTGCCGCTGCTGGTGCCTGTGTCTCTGTTGGTGGTGGTGGTGTTGCTGCTGGTGTTGCTGCCGGTTTTGCTGGTTTTCCCTGCTGCCCGGCTGTGGCGACGAGGGCCCCCCCCCCAAAGGCTACCCTCGAGGCTCGAGGTTTGAACCTCGACGCCCTCCCGGATATGTTGGAGGAAACACGCTGTGAGGGTGACGAATTGACAGACCCCCCAGAGCGCTCGCCATACGCAAACGACAGAATAGTGGTATTCGTGACGCTTCGCGTATCCCCAACAGCCCATCCAGAAACGATGCCTTGGATAGCTGACGGGAGAAGGGAAGAAGATACGCACATAGTGCAAAACCGTGGGCAACAACGGTGAATTGGGAGATCTCTGGTAGCGAATGGTACGGGTACTGCTGTTGGTGCTGTTGCTGCTGCTGATACTGCTGGTGGTGTTGGTGGCGGTGCTGCTGCTGGTGTTGCTGCTGGTGGTGTTGTTGAATCATGCGCTGTTGGTGCTGCTGCTGGTGCTGCTGCTAGTGCCGTTGTTTCTGTTGGTGGTGGTGGTGTTGCTGCTGGTGTTCCTGGTTTTCCCTGCTGCCCGGCTGTGGCGACGAGGAACCCCCTCCCCAAGGCTGACCTCGAGGCTCGAGAGGTGCACCTCAGCGCCCCCCCGAGTATGTTGGAGGAAACACGCTGTGAGGGTGACGAATTGACAGGCCCCCTCGGAGCGCTCGCAACAGGCAAGCAACATAATACTGGTATTCTTGACGCATCGCGTAGTCTCACCAGCCCATCCAGAAACGATGCCCAGAAGAGCTGACGGGAGAAGGGAGGAAAAAAACGCACATAGTGAAACACCGTGGGCAACACCGGTGAATTGGGAGATCTCTGGTAGCGAATGGTACGGGTGCTGCTGTTGGTGCTGTTGCTGCTGCTGAAACTGCTGTTTTTGCTGGTGGCGGTTTTGCTGGTGGTGTTGCTGTTGGTGGTGTTGTTGAGTCTCGCGCTGTTCGTGCTGTTGCTGGTGCCGTTGTTTCTTTTTGTGGTGGTGGTGTTGCTGCTGGTGCTGCTGCTGGTTTGCTGGTTTTCCGTGCAGCCCGGTTGTAGCGACGAGGAGGCTCTCCCGAAAACTAACCTCGAAGCTCGTGGTTAGAACCTCCACGCCCTCCCGAGTTTGTTGGAGGAAACACGCTGTGAGGGTGACGACTTGACAGGCCCCCCCGGAGCGCTCGCAATAGACAAGCAACATAATGCTGGCATTGTTAACGTTTCGCGTGCCCCCACCAGCCCATCCAGAAACGATGCCCAGGAGAGCTCACGGGACAAGGGAGGAAGATGCGCGCATAGTGAAACATCGTGGGCGACAACGGTGAATTGGGATGTATTTGGTAGCGAATGGTAGGGGTATTGCTGTTGGTGCTGCTGGTTCTGCTGATACTGCTGGTGGTGATGGTGGCGGTGCTGCTGCTGGTGTTGCTTCTGGTGGTGATGCTGAGTGTCGCGCTGTTGGTGCTGCTGCTGGTGCCGCTGCTGGTGCCGGTGTCTCTGTTGGTGGTCGTGGTGTTTTTGCTGGTGTTGCTGGTTTTCCCTGCTGCCCAGCTGTGGCGCCGAGGACCCCCCCCGAAGGCTAACCTCGAAGCTCGAGGTTTCAACCTCGGCGCCCCCCCGAGTATGTTGGAGGACACACGCTGTGAGGGTGACGAATTGACAGGCCCCTTCGGAGCGCTCGCAATAGGCAAGCAACATAATACTGGTATTCTTGACGCATCGCGTAGTCCCACCAACCCATCCAGAAACGATGCCCAGAAGAGCTGACGGGAGAAGGGAGGAAAAAAAACACATAGTGAACGACCGTGGGCAACAACGGTGAATTGGGAGATCTCTGGTAGCGAATGGTACGGGTGCTGCTGTTGGTGTGGTTGCTTCTGCTGGTACTGCTGTTTTGGCTGGTGGCGGTTCTGCTGCTGTTGTTGCTGCTGGTGGTGTTGTTCAGTCTCGTGCTGCTGCTGGTGCTGCTGCTGGTGCCGATGTTTCTGTTGTTGGTGGTGATGTTGCTGCTGGTGCTGCTGCTGGTGTCGCTGGTTTTCCATGCAGCACGGCTGTAGCGACGAGGAGGCCCCCCCCAAGGCTAACCTCGAAGCTCGACGTTTGAACCTCGACGCCCTCCCGAGTATGTCGGAGGAAACACGCTGTGAGGGTGACGAATTGACAGGCCCCCCCGGAGCGGTCGCAATAGGCAAGCAAAATAATACTGGTATTCTTGACGCTTCGCGTATCTCCACGAGCCCATCCAGAAACGATGCCCAGGAAGATACGCACATAGTGAAACACCGCGACGACGACGACGACAACGACGACGACGACGACGACAACGACGACGACGACGACAACGAAACCGACGACGACGACGACGGCGGCGGCGGCGGCGGCAGCGGCGGCGGCGGCGGTGATGGCGGCGGCGGCGGGTCTCCGAGAGCCTCGATCCTCGAGCCTCGGGCGCAGCGTGGCCACAGCATTAAGTTTCTGACACCTTTCCCAGACGAAGGCTTGTCCTGAGTCGCTTTGGGGGGGTTCAGGGTTGTTGAGCTATTCAGTCACCGATGGCGCAGAGGCCTCCACGGTCTCCCTTTGCCGGATTCGGCGCGAGTCGTGTGGGACAACGGCCGCGTCGACGACATCGCCCTCGAGATGCTGGACCACGGCGCCTCCCGGGTCGTTTATGCCTCGCCGCACGCTCCCTATGTTCTGAAGGTTCAGTTGGGGAGCGACCGCGACGACTCGAACTTCGCAGAGGTTGCCCTTAGCAAGACCTCTTTTGCAGTGCTGGTCCCGCAGGTTTACGGATCGGGTTTTGCCGAATTGCACGGGATACGCTTTTTGTTGATAATGCTGGTTGAGCGCGTCCCTCACACGATGTTCAACTGGATGGAGCAGCTGGTGAAGTCTGCCCCCGACACCGTCGGCTGCTCCATGCTGTGCGACGTGGTGAAAGGGTTTCTTTGTAATGGTACTGCATGCGTGCGCCGACCTCGGTTACCAGCTGAAGGATCTTCATTGGAAGAACATCGGTATCACAGCGGATCAGGCGCTACATAACCTACAATCCAGAGGAGGTCTCCTCAGAGAAATACTTGGCTTTTTCTTTGGAAGCTAACCTGGATGGATCCGGCCAAATGTGCATTGATGTTCGCCCTCCCCCGCTTTGCAAACACAAACACAAACAACAATCACGCGTTTATCATATTTCCCGGAGGGCGGGCGATATGATCAACGCCCCAGGCGCTCATTATCTTCGACTTCGAGATCTGCCAGCACAGTCCAGGGGAGCGCCCATCGGAGAAATATGATGAGGCAGTGGCTCGGAGGCACACTTCGTTCAGGGGCTTCCTCCAAGAGCACGGGTCAACGCATTGGGCGCCGAATTATGTTGCGATGTGTGGCTACTCGCGTGAAGGATTGGTGGAGCCGCTTCCCCACCTGGTTGCCAACGGAGTCAGACGTTTTAGACGTGCACAAGAGTATTCTGGGGGAGATTTTGACGTTGCTGCCTCCGACTGACTACCAACGCAAACCAACTTGCTGACAACGCCGACGCCCCGTTGACAGCAGCTGCCCACCTCGCGCCTTCGAGCCCGCAGCCGTCGCCAGAGGCGCGGGCGAGCTCGGCGGCGGCAGATGACGCGGCGCCAGAGATGGCGGAGAGCGCTGTCGGAGCCGAGGACAGACGCGTGGACCTTCTGATCAGCAAGAGGCAACGTGTTGACAACGACGATGCCCTCCTGAACGAAGCGGCCTCTCACGCGCCATCAAGCCCTGAGCCGTCGCCACAGACGTGGGGGAGCTCGGCGTCAGCAGATGAGGCGGTGCCGGAGTGGGCAGAGAGCGCTGCCGAAGCAGAAGCCGAACGCGTTGATCCTGTGAGTGCAGCGCCTGCAACGCCAGAAGAGACGGCTGCGGCCGCTGTTCTCGATGCCGCAGCACTGCAGGCGCGTCTCTCCGAGATGATTGCCGCAGGGGCTCTCGCACAGCGTTTCTCCGACATCATGGCTGCAGGCCACGCCCCTGGTTTGGGGGGCCCGCCTGTGCCGCAGCTGCGCCGCGCAGGGTTGTGGCGAAACTTCGCGGTGAAAAGGTCCAGATCTGCTGTTCGGTGGGGGCAATCCTCGGTCGATGCCATTGGAAGAGAAACGCGCGAGGGACCACTGGCACGACAAGCATGGTCCGCCCGCGTTGGCGCGGGAACCGCTGGATGAGGTGTGCCCTGTCTTGCGCGCGCTGTGTCACGCCTTCCCTTTGCACGCTATTACGCGGCCCACCAAAGCGTCGAAGGACGTGGGGGCCTTCGCCGGGCGATGGAGCGTGACCTTAACACAATCTGTAATTCAATCCGGTGGCTTCGATGCCGACGGCCGGTTAATTCCACATGTTGTAGTGAGCGTTCTTGCCGCGTGGTTTGTCAAAATGACCGCCTACAAGAAAGGGTCTCACAACGAATTTCGGTGGCAGGGCTTTCCAATTTATGACCGCGACGGTGCTGCGTCTGTTTGCGCCGGTGCGTTGGTCAGCGCCGGGTACGTGACCGCGGATTCGCGGGTGGGCGATTTTTCCGTTGCTGGCAATCGCTAAAGCGGAGCAATCCACAATGGCTTGTCCTGCGTGGGGTTCGCGCGCAATTGGGTCTGGGTTCGGCAGCTCTGTCGGTTCACGATAGCCTGCCTTGCGTCGGCCTGCTGCTACATCACGACCCCCCCTGCCCTCGTCAACAGTGGTTTGTCGTGCGTTGGCGGAGGGCCGCGATCAACAAGGGTCTGTCCCGCGTTGGTCGGGCGCCTGTCTTCCACGTTTGCCCGGGCAGCGACATCCTTTGCCGCCTTTCTACTTCGCTAGCCTGTGTGGCCCCAGAGCAGTTCGATGTCACGATCGAGAAAGGACCTCTAGTACGAGGCGCGAGCGCCTGGTCTAATAGCCCGTTTCCTTCGTATTTTTTCGAGTGAAGCGGCTCCCGGGCGGGCGACGGAAAACGCGCGTTAGCGTGCGGTCCGTCAGTCGGAAAAATTGAACTTGGGGGAGTTCGAGGGGGGTGGCATCGCGAGACCCGGATGACGGAAAGCGTGCGTTAGCGTGCGGTCCGTTAGCCGGAAGAAATCGGACTTGGGGGAGTTCGAGGGGGTTGGCGTCCGCGGACCCGCGATCTAATTGCCCTCCCGCTTCGTTTTTTTTTGGTCGAGACATCATCGGAGAACGCTTCTTGGGCGCTTCTCGGGCCGTCTTAGGCGCCTAAGACAGCCCAAGAAGCGGCCAAGACGGCGCCCAAGGCGGCCCAAGACGGCACAAGAAGCGCCCACGACGGCCCAAGAGCGCTCCAAGAGAGCCCACGACCGCCCAAGACGGCCCCAAGACGTCCCTAGAGGCCTCCACGACGCCCCAGGAGGCGCCCAGGAGGCGTCCCAAGAGGGCCCCACGAGGCCAACACCAACTATTTTCGGAAGGAAAACGTATATTTCTAGCATATGCGGCTTCTCGCCTTTCATGGTGTTGCAGACGATCCAAGAGGCCCCCAAGACCGCCCCAAGACGGCCGAAGATGTTCCCAAGAGGGCGCCGAGACGGGCCAAGAGGCGCCCAAGACTGTCCAAGAGGCCCCCAAGAGCGCCCCAAGAAGGCCCAAGAGGCCCCCAAGAGGGCCCCAAAACGGCCCAAGAAGGCGCCAAGACGGCCCAAGAGGCGCCAAGACGGCCCAAGACGGCCCCAGGACGGCCCCAAGAAGGCCCCAAGAGGCCCCCAAGAGAGCCCAAAGGCGGCCAAAGGCGGCCTAGTCCCTTCACCCCCGCCACCCAGAAGCTCACAGGAGGCCCCGAGAGGCCCCAGAGAAGCCCCAAAAGGTCCCCAAGAGGCACCCAAGAGGCTCCCCAAGAGCCCCCCAAGAGGCCCATAATACTCCCAAAGGCTCTTAGTACCGCGGCTCCCAAGAGCGAGCGGTGACGTAATCGAGCTGATAAGACCAAAGCTCCCAACATAGAGCTGCGGCGTAATAAATTATTGACGCCAGGGCACAGGGACGGGCGGCAACGCGTGGACAACGAACGGCCCATGCAAGGACAACGCGGGGTTCTGGAAAGCTGGCAGCCCAAACGCGGAAAACGCAACGCGACCCGACCGCCCCCTCCAAAACAAGAAACGCGCTCAAAGAAAGCTCCGCGACTCTCCGAGGCTGAGATAGGACAAGAGCGAGGGGAAGGGAGCCAATAAGAGGTGTAAGAGCGGACGAGCCAGCGATCCCGTGCGCTCTGAAAGTAAGTGCGCTTTCCGTCCCCGTGCCAAGCAGGTGTATTGGCCTTCGGCCCATCCCGCCATCGTGCGTGGTTGGTGGGTTAGAGGCCTCATGGATGTTGGTTGGGCTCTCGTGGTTGGCCTCTCGGGGGCCTCTGGGAGGCAGTTTTGAAACCTCTTGGGGGCCGTGTTGGGGCCTCTTGGGTGCCTCTTGGTGCTTCCCGAGGTGCCTCTTAGGGCCCCTTGGGGCCTCTTGGAGCCTCCTGGGGGCCTCTTGGGGCTGAAGGCTGGTCTGTTCGGTTCATGGCCCCCTTCTCGGGCCCCTCTTGGGGCCGTCTTGGGGCCCTTTTTGGCCGTCTTGGAAGCCTCTTGGGCCGTCCTGGTGCCCTCTTTGGCCGTCTTGGGGCTCTCTTGGGCTCTCTTGGGCCCATCTTGGGAGCGTGTTGGGCCGTCTGGGGACGATGTTGGAGGCCTCTGGGGCAGTTCTGGACGCTGTGAATTCCCAGACGTCGCAAATGCGAAAAATGCACGTTTCCCCTAGGGAAAGGGACGATTTGTCCTTGTTGGGGCCCTCTTGGGGAGTCTCTTGAAGTTCTCTTGGGGGACCACCTGGAGACCATCTGGAGCGTCTTGGAGCGATCTTTCGGCGACTCGGTGCCTCTCGGGCCGCGTAGGGGGCGTCCCGGCGCCCTGGGGAGTCGGCCGGGCATCGCCTGGGCATCGCTTTGGCATTGCCCGGGGTACTTTTCGTCCAGAGGCCCCCAGGAGCCGCCACGCATGCGCGAACTAGAAGTATTATGAACCTGATACCGGAGATCTTAGCACGCCTCTGGTCCGTTGGGCTGGCGAATTTGATTGTCGAATCTACGAACCACAAGCACATACTGTTCGTATATCTACGAACGCTCTACTTACTTTTTGTAGATCCGACTGGAAAATCAAGCTTGGGGTGCATCGATGATGTAGTCGATCTCCTGCTCGACAATGTGGTCCCCAGATCGCCGAGCGCGAAGCGGTAACAGCGGCCTGCGCGCCCAGGTTAGGCCGCGCACCAAAGGTTCGTCGGCGAGCGAGGGGAGGAACTGAGAAGGAGAAGGCCTTCTCAGAAGGCGGCGGGACTCAGAAGCCCTAGCGCCTTTTGAGAGGTTTTCTGTGCCTCCGGGGAAGGCTTGGCAAACTCCTCGTGAGGCTGGGGGGGGTGGACTTCAGGGCCTTCTGAGAAGGCCCGGCCGGTCTTCTCACGTCCCCCCTGGGCCCGAGGCCGACCCAAAGGTCCCCCTCGCCTGGGGTCGCTCTGGCGTGCAGCCGGCCCCCCTGCCCCCCGCCCCGTCGGCGCGCCGAGGCGCCTCGACTGGCGGTTCGACGGGCCGCTGGAGGCGCCCAGGCCGCGTCGCGGGGGGCGCCGGCGAGGGTCGGGCGCTGCGCAGCGGGGGGGCGATGCAATCCACCCGCATGGTAAGTAAGGAGGGGCAGCCCTCCAAAGGGTGCCCTCGCACCCTTCCCTCCCGAGCCCATCCTCGGCCACTTTCGTTGGCCGCGCCCCGCTCGCAGGGTGTCGACATGGCCTTCCGAGGCTCCTGCATCCTTACGATACGGGTTGACTGTGGTGGCGGCGGGATCCGAACCCAACCCTCGCCCGCCCACCGATGACGAACGAACAACTCTAGGCCTCCTAGGTGGGTCCGAGTAAAAGGGGTCGGAGGATCGCGCCGTATCGTCGATGCATCGACGATGCGGCTCGATGTGGAGCCCGACTTCTCCACGCCGATGGCGCCGATGTATCGCCGACGTCGCCGATACATCGGAGATGCGTCTGCGATGTATCGGCGATATATCGGCAGTGTATTTGCGATGCGGCGCGATCCTCTGACCCCATCTACTCGGACCCAATCTAGCAGGCCTCCACGAACAATACACGCCCATACCGTCCCATACCCATAGGGGGGTAGTTGGGTGGAGGACTGCTGGCTATGGGTATGTGTGCGGGTTGTCGGACCCGGTGGGGGGCCCATCCAACAGCACGCACCCATAGCCCTCTCCGACCCCCCTATGGGTATGGGTGCGTGTTGTTCGTTCGTCCATCGATTTCATGCAACTCGATGGGCGGCGGGGCTGTATAGGGCTCGGAGTTCGTCGAGCGCGTGGCGAAGTCCGAACCCTCACCCCGCCGCCCATCGATTCAGGAGAAGAATCGATGGTCAGTGGGGGTAGGATTCGGATGTCGCCACCCAGAGAATCGGGGGACCAAGAATAGCCCACCTGCCGCGTGCCTCAGGTTAGGAGCCTTACAGTGGAGACCCATGCCAAGAAGCAACCTGCTTGCCTCCATGGTGCCATGGGTTTCAATGGTTTTGCTAAGGAAAACGTGGCGTTCCCACACAAAAAATCAATGGACGCCCTGGGGTCTCCAGGTTAAGTTTCTTGTGGAAGGTTTCTTGTGGTCGAGCCCCTACTGTATAAAAGGAGCCATCTGGGGCCAAAACATAGGGCACGAGAGGCGTGCGTTGCTCTACCCCCACCCGCGGATCGCCCCCCCCTCCCCCCTCCCCCCTCCCCCCGTGACGCAACGCTCAAGAGGAAGAAAGGAGGACGCCCCCTGCCCGGAAGGGGCGGCCCCTGGATTCCTACGCCCAAGAGGAAAAGAAGGAACGCCCAAGAGAAATTGCCCAAGAGAAAAAAGAAAAGAGGACTCCTCGGGGTCCCCATTAAGCAATGCCCAAGAGGAACAGAAGGACGTCTCCTGCCCAGAAGGGGAGTCTACGCCAACGGGGGTCAGTCCGAGCGCTGGAGCTTGCAAGATCCTGCAGGGCCACGGTCGCATTGGCCCGGGCTTGGGCGCAGGGTCTTGCAGGCTCTTGCAGGATGCTGCAAAGCCTGACTGACCCTAGTCTGGATTGACCCAGGTCAGTAGATTTTCCGAATTCCGGGCGTTGCAGTAATATTCGCGGCGGCTGGTCTTTCGGCGTTTGTGGGTGATGGTTTGGGGCCGTTTCTCTCAGTGGGGTCAGTCGCAGAACGGCCCGACCCCCAGAACGGAGAACGGACAATGAGACACGCGCACCGATTGGGGCCAGGCCCATTCTGAGCCCAGGATCGGTGCATACGCCTTCGTGGGTTGGCCAGGGAGGCATATGCATTGATCCTGGGCTCCACTGCATTCGCGGCGTCTGGTTTCTACGGGGTCTTCGGCCTCTCGGGGTTCGGTTCCAGGCCCAGTGGGGTGGGTCGTAGAGCCGCTCGGGACGAGAATCCGGAGGGCCGAATTGGGTACGGAAACAATGGGTACACAAACCAGAAGCAGTTCTTGCGATTCGCTATCGGCGTCGCCGCAGTCGTTGTCCACTCGAGAACCAAACTCGCCTGCCCAACAGCGGCCGCTCTCCTTTTTGGACGACATCTGTTGTTGGGGATCGTTTTGAAGCTCGCCGAGGGGCAGCGAACGCGATTTGTGTTTCTGGGGCGACGGAGGAGGGGTGTTGCTCGTAGGGTAAGAGTAAACCTAAGCAGCCCAATCGTCGGCAAGAACAAACCTAAGATCCGAGCGTCTCACGTCGTAGTGACTGCTATTGACGGATCAAGCGCGCCGGCCGGGCGAGGGGAGAGGGGAGGGGGGGGGGAGGAGGGAGGAGGGGAGAGGGAGAGGGGAGGAGAGATGAGAGAGGGGGAGGGGGAGGAGGGGAGGAGGGAGGAGGGGAGGACAGAGGAGGGGGTGGAGGTGGCGGAGATGGAGGTGGAGGAAGGGGGCGGAGGAGGAGGGGGGCGGAGATGGCGCCTTGGGGGCCAGGCTTGGCTGCGCGAGCCGCCTCCAGCCGGAGGAGGAGCCCATTGGGAAAGGAGGAGGCCAGGGTGGGCGACGCACATACCGATGCCGATAGGGGACGGGTGTCGCCCTTCCCTCGTTTTCGCTCTGGGCCTCCCGGGGGGGGGGGGGGGGCTCGCCGCCGTGACCTCTGCTGGATTCGCCTCGTGATCCTGGTCAGAAGGCGGGGAGTGTATGGGTCTCGTTAACCTCCCAGGGAACAGGTTGGGAGGAAGAGAGGGGTGGCGGGCGGGAAGAGGCGGAGGCGGAAACGGATGGTGGGGAGGAAGACGAGGAGGAGGAGGAGGAGGAGGAGGATGGCAAACGAACAAACCGGCCGAAAAGGAATGGGCATGCTGAAATATAGTTGTGTTGGGTTCTCGTGTAATGGTCGCCACGCTGTTGAACTGGTTTGAATATGCTCGTGAGGCCTTGGCATGGCGTAGGCGGGGGTTTGAGTTTTGCAGGATGCAGTAGAGTGGCGCCACGGTGCTTGTTCACCCCTCTCCGTAGTGGGACAGGCTCGCCTGATGCGGTGGTCCGTCCGTCCGTCCGTGGGTGATGAATTGTGAGACTCGACCGCTCCCACGCGTGGCTGTCGCATGCGTCCGTCAGTTTATCTCATGATGGCCGAGCTCTACGTGGCCTTGCCGTGGGCCAACGCGAAAGACATGAGCACGAGGGAATCCTCTGCGGCCTTGGACACGCCAGCGAGCAGCATTGGATCGTCGGCGTGGCTTCCTGCCGGTGGGCACTGCCACTCGCCTGTTGGAGCCCGCTGTCGCGTCGCCACCCAGGTCACGGTGGCTGTCCACGAAGTCCGTGAACTTGAGGTCCCAGCCATCTTGGTGCATGAGCTCCATCTCGAGCGCCGTGGAAACGGCCAGTGCCTTGGTCTTCGTTTGTTGGCAGGCGGGCTGGCCTCTTCGATCTTCTCGTTGGAACGCCCTGTAGGCCGCCCAGCACTCTGCCCATGCCGGCCACGTGACCCGAGACGTCGTCCACCACGTTCAGGATGAGCATTGCCGGCGTGCCAGCGCCATTAGCGCCGCTGTGGAACAGTTTGGTCAAAGCTGTGGCGCGCGAGCAGCCAGCCATAACCGAGCCTTGTGCTGAGAAGGCTTCGCTGAGGGATGTGCCTATGCTCGCCCCGTCTGGCCTTGTCGAAACCAGGAGGAGGAGGAGGAGGACGAGAACGAGGAGGAGGAGGAGGAGGAGGAGGAGCAGGGACCAGGAGGAGAAAGACGAGGAGGGCGAGGAGCAGGGACCAGGAGCAGGGACCAGGAGGACGAGGAGAAGGAGGAGGACCGGCGGGCGGCGGCGACGGCGAGGGGCGAGGAGGGCTGCGCCGTGCGCCTGCCGTTGCCCACCGCCCCGATCGGAGGGCGGGCGCCCGCCCGACCGCGGACCGCGAGGCTCATGCTGCACAGCCGGCTGCTCCGCATGCCCCTCGGGGGCCGCCGCTGGGCGGAGGGCCTCTCCGAGGCACCAGCCCACCCTCTCTTGGCGGCGACGACAGAGGCGAATAGCCGAGGGGCGGGCACTACACGCGTTCGCCGGGGAGTCAGTCTCCCTGAAGACATGGACTGTCGGCCTTTCTGGATGCATGTGTTGCCCCCCTACAGTCAACCCGCATGGTAAGGTTGGGCAACCTTCCCAAGGGTACCCTTGCATCCTTGCCTCCTCGGTCCCCATCCCTGGCCGATTTCGCTGGCCGCGCCCCACTCGAAAAGCTTCGGAATGGCCTTCTAAGGCTCTTGCATCCTGCACGTCACCGATTCGCTAGACGCCACGCCCCTCTTCGCCACGGCCGCACGCAGATCGGAAAACTTATGCGTTTGGACCCCGGGGGTGTCCAGGGACTGATTCTGAACTGCCGTTGTCTCAATTCGCCCTCCCCCGAATGAGGGGTTCAGCGCACGAGGGTCTAGTCCGGGGAAGCGTTAGTGGGATTGGCTCATGGGGATGGTCTCAGGGGGCGACGTTTCGGGTTCGAGGTTTCGGCGTTTTCGGGCGTTTTTGTTGGTTCTCGTTGGTTCTCCAGCCTCGGGGTGCTTTCCAGCAGCTGCGTCTCGCTTAGGGCGTTCCAGGGGTGCACGTATCGTCCCGAATTGCCGCCGGACCGTTCCAGGAGGTATGAACTGAAGGCCAGGGGGTAACGTCAGGTGGGGATGGGCTCAGGTGGGGCGCATCGACCCCCTATCGCCCACCCATCGCCGATAATCAGGAGCCTGATCGCACGAGAGTTTCATGGTGGCCCAGCACGGGCGCGAGTACGAGCACGAGCCCCGCACAGGCGGGCTCGCCCTCCTGGCTTGGCCAGGGGTGGGGCTTGGCCAGGGTCGGCGTGCCACCACTACACAGATGGAGGGCGGAGGAGCATTCAAGTGGTAAGCTCCTCCGAGGCGGACACGCGGTGGGTAGCGCCTCCCGCGGGTACAGCGCACGCCACCCTGTACGGGGTCCGAGTGGCGGGCTCCCGAGAGTACACCCACCACAAGGCTGGACAGGCGGCGGTAGACAAGCACTCTGGGCAGGCTGTGCCGCCCGGAGTGGGAGGGAGAGAGGAGGGGAGCAGCAGGCAGGCAACGACGAACGCGCAGGCGGGGGGCCGGGGCCGGCGGGACGAGGAGGGAGGGCGGGCAGGCGGGAGGGGAGACAAACAGAGGGCAGCAGGCAGGGAGCAGAAGGAAAGGGAGGAGGAAGGAGGAGGAGGAAGACAAGGAGGACGGAAGGCAGCGACCGCAAGCAGACAGGCCGGGCCAGGGGCCGGGAGAGAAGAGCCACCCGCGACGAGGCTACGAACCCAACGGCGGCGACCTGAGCAGGGGGGCTGCCCGAGCCCAGCACGATGCGGCTTGGTGGGGATTGCCCTCTGCGGGATCCATCCACCGCCCCGCCGGGGAAGGGCCGGGCGGCGCGTGGGAGGGGTCGCCGGCACGACGTTGGCGAAAGGGCGCGGGGGGCGCCCGTGCTGCCCAGCAAGGGCGGGGGGGGGGTGGGCGGGGGGCGCTAGGCAGCGCAGGGGGCACCTCACACGGCGTCTGCCGTGGAGGCCGCCGTGGCCGCGGCCAGGCGGGCCGCTGCCACCCCGCCCCTCCGGACAGGGTCTGAAGGCGCCGCATCACCGCCCGCGCGTTCTCTCTGTGCAGGGAGACGGAAAGTCGCTGGGCGCGTTGGTCCGCAACCAGTGCGGCGTATTCCCCCGTGGCGTCAGCCACCCGCTTGGCCAGGGCCCCGAAGGCCCTGCGTGCCTCGCGGCCCCGCCCGCCGCCGTGGGTTTCCACCACCATGGGGGGAAAGTGAAGCCCTGTGCCGCGCAGAGCCGCGCAGTGTCCTGGCGCTGCCTTTTGAACTCCTCGCACCGCTCCGTCGCTGCGCTTGACGAAGCGGCAGACGCGGCGAGGAGATCGGCGCGCAACCCTGACGTGGCGGCAAAGTCCCAGGCGGCCGCCGCGCCGTTGCGCCACCGCGGCAGGTAGACGTCGGCAGGGCGGCGGCCGTTGTCGTCCACCTGGGACCCGCCCTGCTCGCCCCCGGGGGGGGCCTCCCCGGCGGGGCCGGCGGCCAGGGCGTCGAAGAAAGCCTGGTTGCGCAGGGCGTTGTGACGTTTGGTCCGGTCGCCGCGGCAGGCGCAGACCAGGGCGCGGTCGCGGAAAACGCCCATCACCTCGCCACAGGCTGGGCAGAAGCACTCCTCCTGCAGGAGCTGGACTCGCAGCCGCCTCTGCAGGCCGACCTGCGCGAGGCCGCGCGGGAAGGCGGTGCCGGTGGCCTCGCAGGGCGGCGCCTGGAGCCACGCGGCCGCGCCTGGGGCTTGCACCAGAGAGAGGTGCGCCTTGCCGGCCAGGGTGGAGCCCGCCAGAAGTCCGTCGAGCGAGGCGCTGTCCACCGCGTCAGAGAGGGCCTTCTGGTTGCCGTGCTGCGCGTGGTCGAACACCACCCGGTCGGCGTCCCGCACGACTGCGTTGTGGGCCTGCACCGCAGCCGCCAGGCTACTTCCGTCGCGGTCGGGGCTGTTGGAGTAGAGCTGCCGTCAGAGGTCGGTGCTCTTCGCTCTGGAAGCGATGTAGGCGGCGGCGGCGGCGTGCTTCGCGGCAGAGCGCAGGCCAAGTCCTCCCTTCCTGAGCTTTAGCTGAGCCTGCTGCCAAGAAGCGTCGGAGGGCGAACAGCCGCTCAGTTGCTCGAGGCAGGCCCGGACAGCGGCGCCCATGGCCAGCAGGGAGGCGGCGCGCGCGGTGGGCGGCACCACGCGCGCGGAGTAGCCAAGTTTGCAGAAGGAGGCGCATTGGCGCAGGAGGTGCAGCGCGACCTCCGCGTTTTCGAGCTCCCCCAGAGCTTCCAGCAAGTCGGTGGCGCTCGCGACCCGCTGCTTGGCGTGCTCCGCGCAGAAGTCCGCGTCTCCCACTGGCGCGCCGAGCAGCTCGAAACTGCGATCGGTGCGGAGGCGGAAGCCCGGCGGGAAGCCGCCCAGAGACACGTCGGGGGCGTCTCCGCCAGTGGGGACCACCTCACACTTGCCCGGGCCGGTGCTCTGCTGGAGGCCCGCCGCGGCAAGGCTGGCCACGAGCAAGTGGAGGAGGCGCGCACCGGCCGGCGCGTCGCCCGCGAGGCAGCCGTCGTCCAAGTAGAAGAAACTCAGGTCGACGGCGCCGTCGGCGCCGTGGCGCGGCGCGCGAAGGGCGGCCTCGGCGGCGCGCTGCAGTGCTAGGGAGAACAGTAGGGGCCCCAGGGGGTCGCCCTGCTGCGCCCCGCACTCGGAGCGGACTGTCTGATTGCCCAGGAAGAGAGTTGACGGGCGGGAGTAGCACCAGGCGGCCGCCCGGGAAACTCTTCGTGGACCGCGCGGAGCAGAGCCTGCTTGTCCAGGGTGTTGAAGGCGCCAGACAAGTCCAGCTTCGCTAACACCTTTCCCTGGTCCCCGAGGTGGCGGGTCCACCGCTGGCGCGCGACGTGCGCCGCCGCCTCGGCGCCGCCAGGGGCCGCGACGCCGATCTGGAGGGGGGCCAGTCGGTCGCGCGCGGCGTCGGCAACCTCGTGGCAGAGGCACTTGCCGACGAGGCGCCGGAGCACTTCCCCGACGGCAACAGGGCGCAGGCCCCCGTTCTTCTTCGGCAGGGCCACCAGAGAGGCGCCCGCGAAGTACTCGGACACGGCCGGCGGGGCCTGCCCACTGGCGCAGAGGTTGACAAGGTTCCGGAGCTGGTCGGCGACCTCGCCCCTGTGGGCCGCGTTGAGCAGTGCGTCTTTGAGGTGTCGGGGTCGGAGGCCCGTTGGCCCGGCGGCCGAGCCCCGGGGGAAGGCCCGCACCTCCCCCCTCCGGACCGCGCCCCCGCCCACCTGCAGGGCAGTAGCCGCGTGGGCAGCCGGAAGGCTGGCGGGGTCCACAGCTTGGCGGCTGCGCGGGCGCTTCCGGCCCATCTGTTCGACGACGTCGGGGGTGGCCTCCACGGGCGGCTCGCTGGTCAGAGCGGAGCAGCTCTTGGAGCACTGGGCGTCTGCGGCGAGCTGCGCGCACCTTTCTGCTCGCTGGGGGGCTTGCGAGGCGGGCTTGGCAGCGCGAGCCTCGACAGCCTCGGCCCACAGGGGGCCCCGCTCCCCGTCCAGCCAGCGCCGGCGCAGCGCCTTGGTCTGCGGTTCGCCGGCCGCCCTGCTGCCTCGGCCGCCGCGGGTGCGAGGGCGCAGGGCGCATTTCGGGAGCATCGCAAGCTCTGTCCACGCAGCCTCGGCGTTGTTGTGCACGGTCTGGGCCACCGTCTGCGCCGAGCACCGCGCCCAGAGGTCCCGGGCGCCCTTCGGGACGTAGCGCTTGGTGGTGGAGCGCTTGGAGAAAGCTGCCCGGAGGGAGGGGGGGCCCGCGGGCTCGCTGCGCGGTTGGCCGCCAGCGGCTGGAGCGGCGGCTGCCCCGGCGATGCCGCCGAAGCGCGTCGACAAGAACCGTTGGCAGACCGAGCGTTGCTCCAACCAGTGCTCTTGCAGGTACTCGGGCGGGACTGGTGGCAGCCCAGGGAACCGCCCGGCGGCGTGCTCGTTCAGGCGCGGGCGCATGCTTTGGTGGCCCCCCCAGCCGGCGGAGGGCGCGGCGTCGCCGCGCGGGCGCCCAGGGGCGGGGCAGTGCACCCGGACGCGGGCGCGAACCCTGCGCTGACGGGCAGGATCAGGCGCCGGGGGAGGGGGGGCAGGTGGCTCTTGCCCGGCTGGCGGCGCTGCCTGTGGAGCCCCGGGCGGCGGGGCGCCCTCCCCAGGAGCGCTGGCCGGGGGGCGGTTGAGAGCCTCGGCCCGGCGCTGTTCCTCTAAAGGAATCCCCGCGCCCACATGCATGTCCCTGGCAGGGTCGAGATTCAACCCGCCGAATCCCACGGCCAGGAGCGGCTCATCCCCATCAGTCCGGTTGCGCCGGAGCTGTCGCCCAGGGGAGCGAACCGCTGGCCCCGCCTCGACAAACGCGTTGCTCACGTGGACCTCCTGCCTCGCTGGGCCCGCAG